CTCTATCCACTGAGTCAAACCGGTTTCGGCTTGGTGAACTGTTTTGCCCCAGCCTGGGGCTCCCACCCTGACCCTGGCTCGAGCCACCTCCCCTAGAGGCCTGGGAGGCCCGGCATGCAGAAGACATCATTGCAGGGGCCTGGGTGACTGGTTGATTTGGTGCTTTTCTGGGTTTACCAAGTTGTGGCATTGAGGAGGAAGATCGGCCACTCAGTCTGTGGGGGTTGATGTCTAAAGGTTTGAACTCGGTTTTTTTCTTTCACAGGATAATAGGCTGAATGTAACAGAGGAACTAACGTCTAATAACAAGACGAGAATTCTCAATGTCCAGACCAGGCTCACAGATGCCAAACACATCAACTGGAGAGCAGTGCTGAGCAGTAGCTGCCTCTACATCGAGATCCCAGGCGGAGCTCTGCCAGAGGGGAGCAAAGACAGGTGAGGGCAGGGCCAGCCTGTCGTGTCCTCACTCTTAGGGGAGGAGGGAACCAGAGTCCAGAGTCGGGCCGCCATCCCTGATTTGAGCAGTGGTCTAGCAGTTGTCCGAGATCCTCCACAGGGGGCACGGCCATATGTACGGACATCTGGTGGTCACATCCGGGGGTGCCCCCTAGGGTTGATCCTGCCACTGAGGGGATGGGATCAGGGATGCTCAACCTCCACACACAATGACCCAGCCCCAGTGCCTCTAGGTCTATACCTGGAAGTTGTGCTCCCATCAATCAAGCCCTTTAAGAGAAGTGGAGGTGCAGGCTGGGCCCTTATGAGGGGCACGTGAGGGTGGGCAGATTCTGACAGTTGCACTTCAGCTTTGCAGTTCTTCTCGAGTTTGCTGAGGAGCAGCTGCATGCTGACCATGTCTTCATTTGCTTCCACAAGAACCGTGATGACAGAGGTAGGTGACCACCCTCACCAGCTGCTCTTGCAGGGATAAAAGGAGACCTGGGGTGGAGACCTGTGGCCTACGGTCCTGTTGTCAGATCTTGGCCATGCTTTTCATGGGACCCTGCTGAGCTTCCCCTGCCCGTTAACTGCTGCTGCCCCTGGGAGGCTCCTGTTGGGGCCATCTGTGAAGGTGGGCGGGCACAGCGCCCAGGGTGCTGGAGGCCAGCGGGCTCAGATGCAGTTTTCCTCCACAGCCGCTCTGCTCCGAACCTTCAGCTTTATGGGCTTTGAGATTGTGAGACCGGGGCATCCCCTTGTCCCCAAGAGACCCGACGCTTGCTTCATGGCCTACACATTTGAGAGAGAGTCTTCGGAGGAGGACGAGTAGCAGCTGCACCACCTGCGCCCTCACCTCTGCCACCACCGTCAGATCATCGCAGATCGTAGCCCCTTCATGTGTCTCGCTTTGCTGGTGGTGTGGCCAACTGCTGCACTGGGGTGCAAATGCCAGGCCGCTCCCCTCTTCTGGGTTTTGTCCGCATGTTGTAATTGTGCAAATAAATGCTCACTCCAAATTAGCGGTATATTTCTTGAAGTTTAATATTGTGTTTGTGATACTGAAGTATTTGCTTTAATTCTAAATAAAAGTTTATATTTTACTTTTTTATTGCTGGTTTAAGGTGATACAGATTATCCTTGTACTTCAAGCAGGAGTTTTCTTATTTGAAGTTTTGGAAACAGTTTTAGGTCTTAACTTGGAAAGATAGGTATTAATCTACCCTTCTATTGCTTTGAAAAAATCTGAATAAAAATTACATCTAAGATCTGTCTGGGCTCAGTGGTGTTAAGTTGGCCTGGAGGGGCCTCAGTTATCTGGTGGGGCCTGGGGCTGTTTGCAAGTGTGTGATGGATGCATTCTGAGCTAAGTAACTCCCTTGACAGGAAATGGGGCCCAGGGTGGGCAGCCAATGGCTTAGTCTCTTGTGTGGCCACAACCAGGTTCTGTGGGATGTGCTGAGTGGCTCAGCTCCATGGCAGGTTTCAGGATCCTGGGGCCCTACTTTGCCGCCACCTTAGCAAGGCAGCTCTGGATGGCAATATGCCCTACCTCACCCACATCTTGGACCTTCAGGTTCCCTGTCCCGTGCCCTTCCCTGGGTCACCAAGGCTAGAGGCTGGCTGGCTTCCACTTACCTGAATGGCCTCACCTCTGCCTGAAGCTTGGGGGGCCTGTGGGAGACAACCAGGGTGGTATGGATGTGTGTGGATGTGAGCCCCCCTCAAGCAACTGTGCAGACCCTGTGCACCCCAGTATCCCCTGGGGAGGGTTTCGCAATGCCATGCTGGAATAGGAGCACTCCTGGGGTGGACGTCCTGCAGTGATTGGCAGCATCGTAGCGCCACCTGCTGGCTGCATCTGGGCATTGCCTGGAAATTCATCCAGGCCTTGGCTGGGAAATAGGCTGCAAAAGGGTATCTGACAGGAGGAAAGGTGCTGGGAGACCGTGGGATGGGACACTCAGCTGCCTGAGGGATGGAGCCAGTTTTCAACGGTTTGGAGGTACAGAGCTGGTCATACCTGGGCTTAGAAACAGTCCCTCCAGGATCACCCTGTTACGGGAGGAGTAAGGAGGCATGACGAGGCCCAGGCAAGAGCAGTGGGACCCCTCAGGGCTCCTGTGTCCATTTTCAGAGGCATAAACTGAGTTCCCATTCACTCCCTCAGGTCCCCTGATGGGTCTTGCAGGCCAGTTAAACCTGTGCTGGCACTGGAAGGAGTGTCCGTGCTCTGCTGCTGTGGAGACCGTGATTATCAGACCCCAGCACCAGGACACCCTTGTGTTGGCTTGTGCTGGACGGTGGGGGAGGAGTTCCACACACACTGATGGACAGGGGGTGTCCGCACTGGGAAGAGGGGCAGGTGGCCCTGGCATTAGAAAGCCTCGCTGGCCCTGGCCTTAGTCCTCAGCCCTGGAAGGGGACACCTGCCTTCTCGGGCTGGACATGGGCCTAAATACCCAACAAAAGAAGGGGACAGGCATTGGAGGAGGGACGCACTAGCCTTCTGGAAGGGGGCACCGACCCTCTTGTGAAGGCACTGCCACCAGCCCTGGAGGGAGTGCCTACCTCGTGCAGAGGCCCTGGACAGACACTCACTCTCGGAGGGTCAGTCCCACAGCAGTGCCAGGGCGCGGCCCAGTGAGGCCTCCATGGCCTCTGCCAGTATCCACAGCTCAGCTGCTCCACTAGGTGCAGGACCAGCAGAGCGTGGCACACCCGCAGCCAGGGCCCAGCGGTGCTCCGCGGCCACACAGCTCCGGCCAGGGTCCCCAGGGCAGTGCCTGGGATGCCAGGTGTTCCGGGTCTGCGGCCAAGGGCACAGGGCCGAGCAGACAGCCCAGCTGCAGTTCCTGGGCACCTAGAGCAGCAGGCACAGGGCCCTGGAGTCCGAGCAGTCCCGTGGCGTCCCAGCAGCAGGTTTCCCGGCCGCAGCTCTGCTAAGAATGTGCCCAGGCCTCCAGGTGCTCCAGGGCTGTGCTCAGCTGCACCAGCAGCAGCAGCAAGGCCAAGGCTTAGGCGAAGTCTGTGGGCCTCTGTGCTCCCATGGGACTGCTCTCGGGCGCCTCTCGGGCAGTGCACCCTCAGACACCAGACCACAGAGCCCCTAGAGCAGCGGTTCTCAACCTGTGGGTCGCAACCCCTTTGGGGGTCGAACGACTCACAGGGGTCGCCTAAGACCATCGGAAAACCTATATAATTACATATTGTTTTTTCTTTTCTTTTTTTGTTTTTGTTTTATTGCTTAAAGTATTACAAAGAGTATTACATATGTCTCCTTTTTTCCCCCTTGACCTTCCCCTGACCTCCCCTACATCCCAGTGTCTTGTGTCCATTGGTTATGCTTATATGCATGCATACAAGTCCTTTGGTTGATATCTTACCCCCCTACCTCCCGCCCCCCAACCCTCCCTGGCCTTCCTCTTACCATTTGCAACGGCGTGGATGGAACTGGAGAGCATTATGCTAAGTGAAATCAGCCAGTCAATGAAAGAAAAATACCACATTATCTCACTCATTCATGGATAATAGAGACCATTATAAACTTTTGAACGATAATAGATACAGTGGCAGAGCTGCCTCAAACAGAGTGTCAAACTGCAGCGGGAAGGCTGGGGAGGGTTGGGGGGCAGGAGGTAGGGGGGTAAGAGATCAACCAAAGGACTTGTATG